TTGTTAGCACTTCAACTGTCAAAGGCATATGACCACAGAGTCAAAAAAGGAATGCATTCCTACATGTGAGCTATGAGGAAAGAAGGGCACATGAATAAAAGTATCAGTTCTTATGGGGTGCAACAGGAATACCAAACAAACATGTGGGGCTCACAGAGCAAAGGGGAAAAGAAGGAATGATGGAGCTCAAGTCAGCAGAAACAGAAAAGGGCCCCAGCCTGGTCTCAGGACCAGAGAGATGGGGGGGCGGGGGACACGGAGGGAAAGCGGGGGAGGGAAGGGGAGGGCGATGGGGCAGAGAGAGAGCGAGCGTGAAAACGAATGAGAACTTCCTGCTGATTCACATCAGGCCGAGAGGGTTTCCAGGATCCAGAAAGCATCAAATACAGACACTGATCTTCAGCGACTGCCAGGATGACCTACTATAACTAGCCGCCCCCCGCCCCCACCCCCCACCCCTGCCACGCCCCGCATCCTCCCAGGAACTAAGAGGAAAACACCTTCGCCTAAGCATTTTTGTATCCATTCTCAAGAAGCTTACCCTCAGAGAAGCACTCAGCGACATTTGTCAGTAATAGGAACACAATGGAAATACTAGGGAGAAAATCTCTCTCTACCTGGGCAAGCTAAGGCAGCCTTCCTTCACAGGAGGCAGCGTTTGAGCTGAACTTTAAAGGGCAAGCAGAATTTTGCAAGATAAATACAAATCTATTTTTAACAACAACAACAACAACAACAAAGCAGTTCTCTATCAGTCACTGAGTACCTAGGAAGGGGTAGCAGTAGGAGATGAGACCAGAAAAACTCTGTATTACAAACATACCCTTAAAAAAAAAAAAAAAGGAAAAGAAAAGGATGGACCACGAGAAGCCCTTGCAGAGCCAGCTTTCCGAACAGCCCTGTGTTCCGAGGTGATTTCTAAGTTACAAGGTGATTATCCACACACGTCCCCTTGGAATTCCTCAAACAGGGATGATGTACACAAAGAGATTTATAGGATTAAAATATCAACTGATACCAAGCATTATGAAGCATACCACATCAACTCAACCAATAGATACATAAAAATGATGGGTATCTGATTTCTCTTATTTTAATGAGAATAAACATATTAGATGCTAGAAGTGAGGCAAACTAGCCCACGGAACTGAGAAAGGGGAATAAAAAAGGAAATTAAAAAAACTTCCCTTAATATAAATTTGCTAAGTTTGATTGACCTTAACATCAAAAAATCAGGTTTAAAAAAAGGCTTCCAGGGTCCGACGTGTATAATTTATGTCCGACGTGTATAATTTATGAAGTTTGCAAAAGCGTCAGCACAACCAAACAGCTAGTGGAGCGAGCTGCCCCGTAGCAGATTTCGATGAAATTTAAATCTGACAGCAACACTAAGCACTAGCACGACTTCGGTGTGATTAGCAGGGCAAATCACAATTCTATTAAAACATGCTTTATCCGGGTAAGGTGTTTTTTCTTTGTATTTTTTTAGAGAAAGAAAGAAAACACACAGAAATGAGAAAAGTAGATCCAATCCATCAAATAGCACAATAAATTCAGCTAAGAAGAAGCAGGAATAGAGCACATTCCTGCCGGCTGGACCCGTGGCTTGAAGAGCCTCTCAGGCCCCACCAGAGACAGGGTGCGGTGTGCGCCCGACTCTCCATTCGGGCCACAACTGAGAGCCCACAAGTGCCTCCTGGGCTTCTCACCCACCTCTGCCCTCAGAGGTCAGGCAGCTGCAAACACAGCAGAGGGGAAAACTAATGTTATAAAACCAAAGACCTTGCTAATATTTCAATTCATGAATTGCCACGTGTCTCCCTTTAATGTGTAAGACCTGCCCAATCAGCCAAAGGTCAAATATTTTATGACTTAAATCTCGTCCATAAAAACAAAAACAACAACAACAAAAACAGACTATGTTGCCCATACCCAGGTGTGATCTTAAGATTTGTTATCAGAAAGCTGAAAAAGAAATCAAGTAAGGAAAGGCAATAAGGATCACCCTGAAGATAAACACGTGACATTAACGTAATCTGATCTGGATTATAATCTAATGAACATGGTCCCCGCCGTTTGGTGGGTCATAGGGAAGAGACAGGGAGAGGCCGTGAATTCAAGTTAAAAATAAGGATACACTTTAAGAAGTCCTGCTCCTACAAACCTGTATATGGTCAATATATGTAACCTTATCCCAGGTAAATGAGTATCTGTTAGGATTCTTTTTTTATTTCAACTGTATGTACCTAGGTGATCTCTCCTACTGTCTTTGAAGGCCCTAGTCATTACGCCTGGTGATGCCAAGTTGAGAAAACCTGACCTACAACAAGAAATAATAAGCAGACTTGTTCAAAGAGAACCATCCCTATTTTTTTTTTTCTTATCACATATTTCAGGGTAAGGAATACATTTACTGGAAGAGAAATCCTGATGTTTAAAAAAAAAAGGCAGGTTAAGAACTCTAAGGGCAATCAATATCCATTCACAATGCCAATACTCTCTGATAGTTATAGAGAAGCTAGATACTAACTACTTTTCTACCTGCCTTTTTATCTATCTACCTACCTATCTACCTACCTACCTACCTACCTACCTACCAACGTGCTTATTTTATATATCCATATTAAATCAAGTATACAGAATCCTGGGACTGGTAGGGACATATTCCAAGGCTTGTGACCAAGAATATCATTGAGACTTCATGAGGTCCTAAAGAGAAAATACATTTTAAAATTTTGATTCTTTTAATCTCCCTTGAGTCCCAGTTTTCATCATTTGAACTAAATTTCATAGTATGTCAATTAAACATTGTAAGAAGAAACCAAAAAAATAAATCTTCAAATAGTCTTTTCCCCTGAAACAAATCCCAGGAAGTATATACTCAACACAATCCTTGGCATAGGTTCAAGTTAAATTGTTGATTTTATATGAGAGCCTTATACTATGTAGAAGGCTTCAGGTTTTTCTGTGTTTTGGTTTAACAGCCTGTTTTCACCCCTCGATTTCAGCTCTTCACAGCCTTCACGTCCCCAGAACAGAAGTCGCAAAAGATGCTGGCGTGCGCACTACCAAGTCACAGGCCTCGCGGATGCCAGCCTTTACTCGCTGCTGAAACCCGAACCACAGTGCTGTCTCATGCTTTTTTCTTGGCCTCTCTTGGAACAAATGAAAAAATGCCCTTTCTTGGAAGAAGAGCAGCATAAACATAAAATCACAGCCTCTGTTATGTGAATCACAAAAACCCTAGCACCCCTTTCCTTAGTACTTACTAATAGGTCTGCTTTTTATGATGGTTAATGGATCCAAAAAGCCAAGGATTATCCTCGAGGTGTATATGAAAGAACTTACCACTTCAATAACCTAAACAAAAGCTCTTTTGAAAGTGAGAATTGTCTAACCATTTCAGTACATTTGACACCTCAGATACCCGTTCTATTCTCCAGGTAGATACCTTGACCATGTGGTCATTCTGAGTGCAAACCAAATGATTAGTGGGTGTCTGTCAGGCGTGGGGATTTTTCAAATCCAGTTCTATACAGAAAAGCTAAGGAAATGAGGAACTTCAATAAGCTCAAAAATATACATCATTTCACACCTTGTGCAAAATAGGAACCCTCACCCCACCCTCTCACCAAATGTAAGACTTCCTAAGATGTAGTTTTTATTATCCAAGGTTTCCAACAGATCCTATCAATGATTATTTTGTCTATTTCTAATTTTTAAAATAAAACAGCTGTTCACACACTTTCCTAACAATATAATAAAAGCTTGGTATGAAAAGTTCAGATGAAAAGAATGTACCTACAGTACTTTGATATTTATTAGTAATAAGAAGATATTAAATTCACTCTTTCATTTATTGTAATTAGCAGCAATTATGTACCAGTCACAGATTAGGCACTAGAGATAACGTAACAAAAAAGACCTTACGCCCTTACAGAACCCAAATAACTACCTAATCACAAGTAAGGAAGGAGTAGTGCATTGAAAGATAGGTTAATGGTTAAATAAATTTCCAACTTAGCTGGCAATGTTAGTACAAATGCAATGTGAAATTTTCAGTTGCCTAACTTAAAGATGGCTAAATTTAGAATACTGAGAGTTTTCATCACATTCATATTGGACGAGAAAAATTCATTATACAAAAATCTGTAATGATTTATTCCCTCTATCCACAGACTGTTTATTAACAGTATGTTTGCATTCTGAAACACATAACCTTAATGTTGAGAATACTAAAGAAGGATGCAATGATCAGAGAGAACCAAGAATATGCATCAATATATCGAGAATCAAGTTCTTCTACCTATCAGTAATTTGGCCTAAAACTTACACTGATAACTTAAGCAGAAGTATCCCTTTGGGGTGGGCAGGGTATGGCCCTCAAGATTTCATGGAAGAATAGAGGTTCAAAACAGTAAGTGTTATTTAATATTATTTTCTAGCCTGGAGTTAATGCTATAAAAGTCAAAGAATAAAAAAAAATGATAAAGCTCGTTTCTTAAATAAACCTCAAGAAAGAATTAATTCTGTGAAACTATTCTATTTTTAACTATACTCTTCAGCACGCCTAGAGATTCTAATATATTGGTAACATGTCTTCTTTTTTAACTTTGCAAATCTGGTCATCCTGCAGATATCTTGGTATTGGAAGCCGGGAAGAGCAAGAGCTGTGGATGCTTTTTGCTGTCATTGTGCCAAAAATATTTACAATTGAACAGGCAGCCATTGAGAACTCAGGATTCACACCCACACAGCAGTTCTGAAATACACCCAGTGGGGCTGCTTTGTGATTTGCCCTTGGGGGCTCCTGCTGAGGAAACCACATGAATAAACAAGTTAACAGAGACTAGGTAATGAATTCTTCTGACAACTGAATAATTAAGTCACCCTATTATGAAATCCACTGTTTGCTATTTAAGTTCTAGGATATTTAAAAGTCGATCAATCCCAATTACAGTAAGAAGGCAAGGAAGTGCACACACACTAATTAAGATTACCTTTGCTCCAAAGATGACGAAAACATTTGTCCAAAGGCTGATTCAAAATCACAAGGCAGAATTTCAAATTTCCTATGAAGAAAAGGAAGGAAAATACGTAAGTGAACTGAGTTTTTTGTTTCCCTCATTTGAGTCTGGAATCATACTGTACTAGTCCAGATTTTCAATCTACATAGGGATAATTCCAACCACAGCTAATTTCTTATACTCTCATTTTTCCCCACATACTTTAATTTTAAAAGACATCATAGATTAACTGTATCTATTTTATTCAATATGTACATATCACTATATTTATTATTAAAAATTTTATTGCAAGAAGGAATTTATTATAAAACATTTTATCATAAAAACAATTGGGTAAGCTTTGTTTCTTGCAATTTACTGTGCCCACTGAAAGTAAAACGGCAGATTTTTACATAAACAGATCTTCACAAAATGGCTGAGTTGTTTTAAAATATTCTTCTACACATTGAAAATACAAATTCTGTCAAAGCATAATCATACAAGCAAATGGCAGAACAGATCATTTGAACTTCCTATAGGGGGCTCTTAACAAGCTTCAAATACAATCTAACTGGTAGTGACAAGAACTTAGGGAAGGGAGGGAGGGAGGGAGGAAAATAAGGAAGGAAGGAAAGGTGGAAGGAAAGAGGAGGAAGGAGGGTAGGTTGGTTATAAAAAAGATTTGAACTTTGGATTTGTATCAATTATCAGAAATGATAAATCTACCCTTAAGTATATGGAATAGTAGATCTCAACTGCACTGCATATCAAAGATTTAAAAAAACAAACAAACCCCAAAGTGAAACTGCTTCCCTAGAGATTCTGATCAATGTTCCTGAATTAAGCCTATGCAGCATAATTTTTAAAAAGCACCCTAACAGAGTCTAATGGGTAACCAAAGTTGAGAACCTGGTGCGGTACCTTAAATGATTAACTAATGATTGTACAAAGCTATCATAAATAGCAACGTTATTTTAAAATACTATTCAACTTTATCTTGCCCTTTTAAATTACTGTTTTGTGAAAAAATATGTATAGCATGCCATAAAAATTATTTGTAATTTTTTATAAATAAACATAAATGACTTGCTTTCTTCTTTAACTGATAAGATTTTTTTTAAAAAAGGATTAAAGACCAGTTACTTTAAGTGAAAATACATTGAAATGAAGCACAATTTACAACAGAAAGAATTTACTGAAAGGCATTAACAAGTTATCAAGGGTTTATGATCTCTGTTTAAAAAAATATTGGAACTCTGATAAAATCAATATTAGCCAAAACACACATCAGTCATTATATATAAAATACCTGTGCTGCTAGAGAACTGAAAACCATTATTACAAATCTCTCATCCCTGAAAGTACTTCAGTTAAATAATGAAAACTCCAGGGCATGGAGGTTCATTTCCATATTGCACAACTTCTATATTTAAGAGGATTTTTTTAGTGTACACTGGGAAATCAAAACTGTCACGTCAACTTGTTCTTTAAGGAAATAAATTGCATGTGGACAAAGCAAAGCTATTAAAGAGTTCTGAACAAATATTCCATACCAAAGTCGATTAAAAATAATCGAATTACCAATAGACTAAGAATTGGTAAGTCATATAAGAAATTGCTTCTGAGAAAATAAACTTAGATATAGACAGGTATTTCTCTGCAAAATCCCTCTTGCTCCCCATCCCCACCACCAGGAGTAACTATTTGATATAGCCCAGTGGCACCCCCTGGTTTAGATGACAAATTAGGTGGTCACTCTCCCCCACATCATCTTCAGACCCCATTTCTCTGCTTCAGTCCTCAGCAAAACTCACTCCAGTGAGGGTTTCACCCCCACGCCCTTCCTGGAAACTCCGACGGTCAGGGTCACGGACGCCTCCCGCTGTGGAAGCCAGCTGGTTCTACCGCAGCGCCCACCTCGGCCAACGCATCTCAGTGGCCTAACCGAGCAGGCCACCTCTTCCTTCTTGAACGGAGCTCTTCCCTTGACTTCCTGGAAACTGCTCTCTACTGGCTCCTTCATATCTGACTAGCCACCCCTCAGCCTCCTTTTCTACTTACCTCTCATCTGAGCAGACAGCCCTCAATACGTATTTGTTGACTAAATGTTGAGTGTCCCCAGCTTCCGTGCCAGGAGTGCTCCAGGTGTCATTCCTTGGGCCTTTTCTGTATCAACCTATACTGACTCCCAAGTAATGCCCTCTAGACTCATGGCTTCAAATACCATCCAGAATGGTAACTTCCATATTCATGTCTCCAGCCCGAGGCTTCCGTCCTCAACACCGGAACTACGTAGGTTTAATTGCTTATTTAATGACTCCACTTGGAAATGGAACAGGCATCTCAAACTTAATATGCCCACAGTGAACGCCTGACTATCCTTTCTCTTTTCAAACCTGCTTCTTCCAGTCTTGGCCATCTGGTACCCACATTACCACTGGTAACCTGTTCACATGAACATTTTGCCTCTTCAGATTTTATCATATAGCCCTCCAATCGGCCTCGCTTCCACACCTGCCTCCCCTAAACTCTGTTCTCCACTCAATAGCCAAATGGACCTGCTAAAATATAGTCAGATCAAGGCATTTCTCAAAACCTTCCACTAGCTTCTCTTCACAATAAAAGCCAAAAATTCCCAACAAGTCACCTACAAGGCCCTATGGGATCCCAGTCTTCTTTCTCTACCTATCTTATATTACATCCTCCTCCTCCCACCTACCGTCTGTCTGTCAGTGACAGACATACTGGCTTCCTTGTTGGGCTCCTCAGATATACCAAGAACAACCCCACCTTTCATGCCTGTACTACAGGGAGCTACACACTCAATGAGCACCTTGCTTCCTCTCCCCATCTGAACCCACACAGGTCTCTGCTCAAATGTGCATCACCACGGAGCTTCCTTGACCAACCCACCTTTAACAGTAACACCTCCACCCCGTGCTAGCGCTTACTCTTAATCTGACCTGCGTTTTCTAATGATCTTCTCACTAGTTTGTTCATTCATCCTCTCCTCTAATGTCTGTCTCCCTGCATGAAAACATATGCTCTTGGGTCAAGTACCTACAGCAATGCCATATACACAGTAGGCAGCCAATAAATATTTGTAGCCCTTCCAAGTCTGACTTTATGTCCACTTAACGATAAATTGACTCCAGCTCTTCTAATAATCAAGTGACTCCCCCAGTTTCTCTGGGGACAAATGGTTTCATACCCAACACAGTTCCTCACTGATTGAAAACACAATGGCCCTTTCTAGATTACACAGAATCCTCCAGGAAGGGTACTAGAACAGATATCAACAAAAACCAATCATCTTGTGTTATAACAGTTCAATGGTGTTTTGATCATTATAACTAAAGAAAAATCTAAAGAAAGTGGAAATGGTCCACAGAAGTCCAATTATATAAATAGTTTGGAAATATTTTCTTTGAGAATAGATTAAGACTTTTCAAGCTAAATTGATATCTACATTAACTACCTATTTCAGAAGAAAGAAATTCAAGTAATATGACATTGAGCCCTAGAAACCCAGGAATATGTCCAGTTATGGTCATTCAACCATTCAGGTTGAAAGTGTAAAGTGATTCTGAAAGGTCAAGTCAATTTCTATTTAAGAGCTTTACCTCCCATAATGAAACACTGAGTCTGTCCAAGTTTGATAACCTTAGCACTATATAAACTATGCCTCTGAAAACAAAATGCCCCAGTAAATTCTCACAGTATCCATGATATGCTAGAAAGGCATGTCAGTTCAAAAAAGAGCAATTTGTATTTTACAACTAGTAAGCTTCTATTGTGTAGGCAGTAGAGGGCACATGGAGGAAGGTTAAGTCTAACCAAGTTTCAAGCCTTTCTTGATGTAAAAAGAGAAGGCTATTCCAGAAATTTTTTTTTTTTACCCTTGCAAAGGTTAGCCATATCCTTGTTCCCAATAAACACATTCTCACTAAGACCCAAACGAATGGAGCTGAGTTCTCCATCTCGGCACCCTGACCCCCCGCGAGCTGCTGACAGAGTTCAAAGCTGCTCTGTCAGCTGTCAGAGATGGCCTAGGCCAAAATAAACTGCGTTTCCCGTCGGCCAAGAAAATCAATCCCTGCCTAGCATGCCGTAGATGTAACGCCACAACCCTAAGGGTTCATCACAAAGGACTAAAAAGTATAGTGCATCACAGCAGTTTTGACGTGTGGGCAGCTGCGCCCACGACAGTACTCACACCCGAAAAGTCGGTTTCCAATGTTTTCCGAAGGCAGAAGGCATTAAGGCTTGGCAAGTGCTTCTAAAACAAAAGACAGGCCCCCCAATTCTGACCCCCTGGAAAAGCAAAGAATGCCTTTCACTGCCCAGCAACAGAAGCGGGGGTCAAATGTCCATCCTGCCAGCACGCTCTCCCTTTTTTCATACCTTCTCTAGGCCTCCTGCTGGGGTCTGGCTCGGTGTGGGGAGAAGTGTTTTGGTGATGGGGAAGTTTCAAAGGTCTGGGGCTTCACACGTAACTACTCTATGAATGAACAATGACAATACGAATACCTTTTTTTCTTTTTAAATATTCCCTAAACAGGATTTTTATTCAAGAGTCAAACCAGTATTTGTAATCAAAATATGTCCAAATTAAGCTAAACTGGGACATATTCAAAGCGTAGCCTGAAGTTCTCCAAGACCTATAATTTGTAAGAAGAAAACAACAAGTGACATTTATTTGGATATTCAGAGTTTACTGAGCACGTCCAACTGCCCTCCTAAAGTGACAGTGATTACACAGCACAGCACCATGGGATCAAAGGACTTCTGAATAAAGTTAAGTCTTTTTGTTCACTTTTTTTAAAAAGAAAGTACATAGATTTAAATTCAAAATAACTGTGTACTATGAATTCTGATTGCAGCACATACTCCCATCACCTCAAGAATTAAATGCACACTGGAGGAAATCTTACTGAACTCAGAGGTGAACAGTTTAACCCCGTGGGCGCGGCGGGCTCTGAGAGGACCCCAGAGGGGCGCCTACCATCGGCAGCCCGCGCTTCGGCGCCAGGCCGCACCACCCCCAGCACAGAGCGCCCTTGTGG